TTGTCCCCAAGTTCTGGGCTCTCCGGAGGGGACAGGACCAGCCTTTGTGGTTCGAAGGCCCTGGTTGGCTGGGAGAAGGAGGGACCTTTCCCAAGGATCCTTTCCAGAGGATATGGCTGAATATGTGAGATGGGAAAGAGGTGGGTACCTCAGACTCCAGTGCACAGATAGCAGCCAGCTCAAACCACGTCCTTGGAGTCTATAGGAAAGGCTCCGGGGGCCTCAGGGACCCTCCCTGGGGGAGCACTGGGCAGGGAGGGAGCACAGCTTCAGTCCCCCTGGACCTTGACCCCACGAGGACCCAGAGTACCCTCCCAGGCTGAGGACCAGGGCCCAGCCCCATCTTGTACAGTTAAAATGTGTCATGATTTAATGTTGTTAAAGGGAATATTTTCAAAGTGAGGATGCTACTTGGTTGATTACCTTTTACCTCTGTTCATAAGAAAAGATTTCTTATCTCTTCACAGTATGGTTAATATTGAACCAGGGACTGTTCAATCTTCCCGACCCTCCTAAGCAAGCATGTCAAACTCACAGCTCGCGGGCCACATGCGGCCCACAATGAATATTTTTGCGGCCCAGCCAATATAACGGTATGTAAGAAACATTTTAATTAAAATTTCACAACTTAATTTTTACAATATCCTGTTACACATAATTATTAATAACTACAACGTTCACTAATGACTGATTACTATAATCGTGTTGCATTCATTTCCTTTACGCGCCTTCCTTGCAGGCGCACCATTTCTCTCCACTAATACTAGCAGCAAATATTTTAGCAGCCAATTGCCACGTCATTAGTCTTGGACTGACTTGTTTGCTGTGCGCAACAGGAAATATTTCACTTTTGCAGAACAAGAAAAATAGGTTTATTTGTGTTACGCTTATTAATTTGTGCAGTTATTCAGTGTCTGGTAAGTTAATGTTCAAGAAAAAATATTAATTTTTATTAAAATGCTCTATTATTTTATGTTAATGATTACTCATTTATTTCAGCCCTCTGCATTCAGCATGTGTCTATCGAAATAAACCTACATTTCTATGAAAATTGAAGCTTTTGTTTTTTTGCGGCCCACATAAACTTAAACCTTGTTTACTTGGCCCGTGTTAGCCTTTGAGTTTGACATGCTTGCTCCCAAGGCTAGAGTGTGGCCCATGAAATAAGGAAGGAGAAAGAGAACTGGAGGGTGGCGCGGGGGCGGGGACGTTTCGGTTCCCCTGCCACTCTGCGAGCCCTGATGACCACAGTGAGCCAAGAGGGGTAAGTGGACAACGGGCACGTGACTCCTCCTACACGACCACAGCATGGGCTCATGGTCTTATGACATAGTAGTTTCGTACACTTCAGTTTCTGTTTCTGATCTTAGGGAAAATAAAATGTGCAGGGAACCCAGAGCCCTCCGCATGTGCAGTAGGCACTGTGGGTTCTGCCCTGATGCCCTCTTCAGGGTCAATGCACTCACTCTCCCAGCTGCTGGGGCTGGGGCAGCTGCACGCCTCCTGGGGAACCACCCTCAGCTGCTGGGACCTGCCTGCCAGGCTATGCCCCCTCCCAGGGGACGGCTGAGGCCTGGCCCCCTTCCCTCAGTGTGGGACAGCGCTGCAGGGCCAGCCCAGCTCCAAAGCTCCTCACGGGATCGGCTGAGGCCTCCGTTGGAACTCCCTTGCGGTCAGCTTCTCCCTCTGCTGGGTCCCGCCTCAGTTGGGTCCCTTCCAGGTTGTCTCCTGGGAGCCCTTTAGATCAACAAGACCTCTGCCTGCAACGCCCTTGCTGAGAGCTCTGCATTCCTGGGAGTGCGGACTCAAATAGTCAAGTTCTTGGCTCCAACTTTCTCTTCCACCAATACTCAGTCACAGGCGCCAATGACTAATAAAATACCTCCACCCTGCGTTCTGTTACTTTCACTCCCCTTGTCCCATCTCTGAGATACAAGTAAATGGTCTCTCAAGGATCTGAAAAAAGAAGACATTGGGAGGAAAAGGGAGGAGAGGAGGCCTATGCACTCCTCGCCTGGCTAACGCCCACTCGGGCTTTCAGCTTAGATGACAGCTATCCTGGGACGCCTCCCCTGGGCCCTCTGGGCTGGGCAGGTGCCCCTGCTGACTGCTCCATAGCTCCCATGTGCTTCCCAGCCTATCACGTGACTCCCTGGGTTATAATCAGTTATGTACCTGACCGTATCCCTCTAGATCAGTGGTTCTCAACCTTCTGGCCCTTTAAATACAGTTCCTCATGTTGTGACCCAACCATAAAATTATTTTCATTGCTACTTCATAACTGTAATGTTGCTACTGTTATGAATCGTCATGTAAATATCTGATATGCAGGATAGTCTTAGGCGACCCCTGTGAAAGGGTCGTTCGACCGCCAAAGGGGTCGCGACCCACAGGTTGAGAACCGCCGCTCTAAGCAGTAGAGGGAAGAATCTCCTCTGGGAATCCAATCTGTGCCTCATGCAAATGTGAGGTTCCATTCTACAACACCCTCAACACAGGAGACCACAAAAGCAGACCAAGAAAACTCATCTCAGGCCATTCATGCCCCTAGTGCTTCCGGCTCAAACAAGTGCAAAACTCCCCCCAGAAGGGAGTGCTCCCCCTTCAGGCCACACAAAGTTGATGCAGAGAAAATAATCCTCAATAAATTTGAACTCACATGGAGACTGCAAATATCCAAGGAAATGGATCACCAGGAGAGACAGTGGGTAGGCTTCACAAACCACAATTAAACCCTGACTGGTTTGATTAAATCATGATTTGATTAAAAATTTTATAAGGAATCAAGATCCTTAAAAAGGAGAGCAAAATATTATTAGCAGAACCCACTCAGTGTAGACAAGGGTCTATTCCATTCTTGTGGGTTTGTCGTATTGCCCTAAGTCAGCACTTGGTCTTAGAATATGAAAAGCCCTAAAAACCCTTCTGGATATGGGAGTTTTTACTCAGTAGGTATTTTTCTCTTTTTCCCTAGAAAAGTCTCTGGAAGCTAGTTGAGACAGGAGACAGTAAGCTGGTGATGGATCTTGTCTTCGTGGCTAAATGGTGTTAACCAGCTAGTCTTAGAAACACATACTCAAAGAAAGAATGGAGGGGAGCAGTGGGTTGGTTTAACCGGGGCTTCCAGGGACGTTAGGAAACAGACCAGTGGATAAGCAGTATGCTAGGAATCGAGCCAAAACAAAATAATACTGAAAGCGAAGGCCATGCTAATTCCAGGAAGTAGGGGGGGATCCTGAATATACACAACAGTGGTTTTTCTTGGGAAACTTCCAATTTCACATAATCTCGTGACTCATTCGAGGTGCCTGCCTGCAATTTCCCTCCACTTAACCACATCACGTGCAGGGTGTGTATTCACGGGGTTTTTCAAGTCTCAGCGTTGGACTTGACTCTCATCCCCGGGCCTGCGATCGACCAGTGGGCATCGGCAATAGAGTATCAAGAGCCTCCATCACCTACTCACTCCAGGTTCTGGGGAGGTGGGGGGGCAGGTCGGGGCTGGTGGGGGGCTGGTGTGCCTCCAAATAGCCCGGCCACAGGAGGTGGAGCCCCTGAAGGAAGGGTGACCTCTGCTGGTCCCAGGGCCGCAGCCACCACCACTGGACAGAGCTTCCCAGGGCACAGTGACCCTCACTCACAGGAGCCCATGCGGGTGGGGCTATGGGGGGGGGCGCAGGGGGACTGGCTGGGAAATGGTCACAGCCCCGGTTCCCACCAGCACCAACCCTTGCTCAGGGAGGAGCACCCAGCGTCACCCTTTGAGTTAAATTTAATGCTGGGTCATATGTTCGCCTGGGTCCTTCTTGTGTTTGTTTTTCCTTTCTTTAAATGCTTTCCTTATTTCTATTTTAACAGGCCCACGTTCTGGATCGAATGCTACCCCGGACCCCTCTGTGGCGTTAACAGGATGCCATCTGACCAGCGACATACATGCTAAACCAATCCACAGGAAGGGTCCCCCCGGAGGCCGGTCACAGGTGCAAAGACTGGAGCTGGGAGTTCAGACAGAATGCTCAGTTCTGTCAAGTTCCTCTTCCCAGTTCAGTTTTCTTCCCAACCCTCCCCGTCCTCCCTCCGCCCCAACCGCCCACCACCTTCGCCCACCGCTCCAAATGTGGGCTCTTGTCTCAGCTTCCTCTCTCCGGCCTCAAACCCTGCCTCGTCCCTGCCTCGTCCCTGCCTTGTCTGGGGTTGAACTTGTCACCCTCACATTCTCTGCCTCCGTGTCCTCACCGTGGAATGTTCCTGCGCTGGGTTCTCCCTCCAGGAACAGGGTCAGCTCCTAACAGCTCGCCTGACCCCACGCTTCCTGCACTGACACCCCATGTCTGCACCCCCTTCCCAAGGGATATATCCCTGTGGCTGCCACTACCGGGGAAATCCTCTCTTGAGACCCCATCCCTCAGCCAAAAGTGACAAGAAACACCCAGCATGGTCCCTGGGGTTCTCACTACAAGTTCTGGGAGCCCCGGGTGGATTCCAGGTGTGGGCTCTGCAGATGCTAAGGAGCCGCCGCTGCAGGTGGCCATCGGGCCCCTGGGTCTGCAGGCGCCACCGTGACACTTGGCTGCAGCTGGTCCCTGCTCAGTGACACATGTCAGACGGGCCTTCCTAGCCCTCCCTCCGTATCACCGACCAGCAGCCAAACCCAGTTCCCTTATCTGGGGCAGCCAGGAGGCCCGGGAAATCAGAGGCGGGTCCAGGGGGAGGTGGAGGACTTGACAACTTCCTGGTTTCCCCCGGAGGCTGCGACACAGCCTGGGGGGTCAGGGGGAGCTTCCACGGGGCTTTCAGTTAATCCCGGAGCCCCGGGACTGGGGGGCAGAGCTATCAGGGACACACAGTGGCTTCTCTCACCCCTAAAGGTCAGGACCGCCTGCTGGGCTGGAAGGAAGCCGTTGTCTCCCGTCCCAGGCCCGTCCCAGCGGCTTGGCCGGCTGAGGGTAAGTCATCTGTGTATTTCACCAGCGAGGCCATGTGGGGCGGAGGATGCTTTCGCTTTTGCAGACATTTGCTCCTGTCCTTCGAGAGCAGAACTCGGAGCTCCCAGCCTGTCACAGGAAGCTGCCCGGGGGTGAGCCAGCTTCCCAGACAGGGAGGAACGAGGACCCACGCCGATCCCGCCACCCTGGCTCTGGGTTCTCTCACGTGGGAGCTCCTCTCTCTTTCCTATCTATTGCCTTCAGGCGGGCTCCTATTCTTACCCAGAGAATGAATGAATTTCTTAGAAGCCGTGTCCCGCTTACCTGAGTTCGCCCGGGGTGTCAGCATCGGGTGCAGCAGCCCAGGCGGGAAGGAGGGACGGGGGTCAAGAAATGTCTGTTTTCACTCTCTGAGCCACGGACGTCCTCTGGCTCCCGGCGGGCTGCGTGGGCCCTCACCTGTTTGCTGTTTCCTCCAGGGCCCAGCAGCTGGCTGCAATAACATCATCTCTCCTTTCTCTGTGCAGGGCAGCGGGCGATGGCTAATTACACCGACGAGGATTATGACGTCATCATCGACCCTCTGTCTGACAATGAGACTCTCACAAAGGACGATGCCGAGCCATGCCCCCCGTACGACCCCACCGTCCTCTCGGCCCAGCTGCTGCCTCTGCTCTACACCGCCGTGTCCCTGCTGGGCCTCCTGGACATCATCTTGGTGGTGTTTATCCTGGTCAAAGGCCGAAGACTCCGACAGGTGGAACACATCTACCTCCTAAACTTGGCCGTATCTAATCTGTGTTTCTCGCTCACCTTGCCGTTCCGGGCCCACGCTGCCTCCCACGGGGGGACCCTGGGCCATCCCACGTGTACCGTTCTGGTGGCACTGTCCTCCGTGGGCCTGCACAGCGAGGCGTTGTTCAACGCCCTCCTGACCCTGCAGAACTACCTGGTGTGTTTCCACGTGAGAGGCTTGTCCCCAGCGGCCAGGAGGCAGGCCTGTGGCGTCCTCGCCAGTGGCCTGGCCTGGCTGGTGGCCGCTCTGCTGGCGCTGCCCGAGGTCCTGCTGTGCGTGGCTCAGGGGGAACAGCCAGGGGGACAGGTGCCCCTGCAGCAGGGCCTCACTTCCTGCCGGGCCAGGGGACGGCCTGGCAGCCCTTTCTGGCCTTGAAGGTGAACGTGGCGGGCCTTCTGGTCCCACTGCTGGTTTTTATCGTTTGCCTTGTGCGACTGGGGAAAACGCTCAGGAAGTCGGCCCTTTCCCAGCTGGTTTTCGCCATCATGGTTGTTTTCCTTCTGATGTGGGGACCCTACAATGTGGCGCTGTTCCTGTCTACGTTCAAGGACTCCTTCTCGCTGCGGGACTGCAGGAGCCGCTACCACCTGGCCAGGAGCGTCCAGGTGACGGCCATCATCGCCAGCACCCACTGCTGCGTGAACCCGCTCCTCTACGTGCTCCTCGACAAGGCGTGTCGGAGGTGTCTCTGCTCTCGCTGCTGTCCACTTCCGCCCACCGAGGACCCTGCACAAGATACACCATGGGAAGAGCATGACCACTCCACTCAACTGTAAGCCGGCTTCCATCAAGCTGGACAAATAAACATCGCTTTTGTTTCCTGGATGCCTGGTTTTGTATATGTTTTGGCTATGGATGAACTGTGCGCTCCTCCCCACCCCAACCCCAATTTATATGTTGAAGCCCTAACCCTGTTATTTGGGCATAGGGGTGTTGGGAGGTCATTAGGGTTAGATGAGGTTATGAGGGTGGGGCCCTCGAGATGGGATTAGTGCCCTCAGAGGAAGAGACACGAGAGAGCTTCCTCATTGTTTTACACGTGTGTCTATGAAATCCATACAGGGAGGAAGGGGGGAAGTGAGCATTGGATTTGTCTCAGGTGCTGGGCTAGGCTCCTTATAAACATGAGCTCCTTCACACCTCACTTCCCAGCCACAGTGTGGGTGGAATTGGCTCATTCCTCTGAGGAGGAAATGGAGGTTCAGAAATATCTCTAAGATCACACAGCTACAGAGTGGCCGGGCTGGGACACAAACCTCGGTGTCATTTGCTCCAGAGCCCGTGCTGTGTCCAGCGTGTCAAACTTCCAAATACTGGGCAAGAAAACACATGAGATGAACATGTACTTTCAAAACCAATTGAACTGCATTTCAAATGAGAAGCAACCCGTTTATACAGAAGCCATTTTTTAGACACATTTTCTTGCAGATCATTGAAAGAATGGCTAGCTGGAGGCGCTGGATAGAGGTGAAGGGACATGTTCTGTGGGAATTCCCTAGGTTTTCTTGGCTGCTCCCCCACCAGGCCCCCAGACATCGCCAACCTGTGAGCCTCCCATGTTTCTACTGCTTCTTTCTACTTTCACAATAGTACGTGTACGATTAGGTTTAGAAATGTTTAGCACAGTGTATGTTTTGTCCTTTTCAGTGAAACAAATACCTCAGGCCTCACCAGCCTGTGACTAACACATCAGAAGTGTTTGCCTGGGGAAACCCAGTGCCTGTGTTTCCGTTACATGGCCCAAGTAGAGATGACAGAGGAAATGCAGATGCCCATGGACCTCAACCTTTCACCTCCATCACTGAGGAGGGAGGAAGAGCAGGTGACACTTGGGGAGACCCCATAGGAACACAGTTTATAGCAAGCACTGGCTCTTCCACATTGTAGTGGGGGGCTATGGATGAACTTTGCCACAATGTGATGTTATTTGGATGTACGGACTTTAAGAGGTCATTAGGGTTAGATGAGTTAATGTGGGTGGGGATCTCGAGATGGGATTAGTGCCCTCATAGGAAGAGACACCAGAAAGCTGCCGAATTCTCCCTACCATGTGAGGACACAGTGAGAAGGTGGATATCTGCAAGCCAGGAAGAGTACTTGCACCAGAACCTGCCCAATCCTGGCACCCTGACCTTGGACTTCCCAGCCTCCAGGCCTGTGAGAAATCAATTTCTATTGTTTAAGCCCACTCAGTCCATGGTATTCTGCATGGCAGCCCAAGCAGACTAGGACAAGCTTCCTCCAGAATGAAATTAAATGGCAAATAAAAACACCATGAGATGTCAAAAGGGAGACCTTGGAAGAAAGTGTCCCAGCAGATATAAAAGAGGGTTATGATGCTGAAGAAGAGGAGAAGGAAAGGGACAGAGACAGTTCCACTAATTTAGACAAGTGGGTCTGGACTCTCCACCCACTTCTACCACATGCAGGAGAGAATTCAGAGAAAATGACATCCCTTGCAGATGTTTGCAGGTGCAGCGATGAACTCAGAGAATAAATCCTGTCGGAATTTTCAGAATGAAAACATAGAGTGTACAGAGAATACGGATCTACACTCTTACAGTGACTGAGGGTGAAATGGTTACTAAAAATCAATGCAACAGCCCACACACATAAGTAGTGAGAATGTTAATAATTCAGTGAGGTCTTCCTCCCACGTCAGGCAGTTACCCTAAAGGTAAGAAGAACACATGGCCCTAGCCGGTTTGGCTTGGTGGATAGAGCGTTGGACTGTGGACCAAAGGGTCCCCGGTTTGATGCTGGTCAAGGGCATGTACCTTAGTTGCAGGCTCCTCCCTGGGCCGGGGTCAAGTCAGGGCAGGTGCAGGAGGCAACCAACCGATGTGTTTCTCTCACATTGATGTTTCTCTCTCTCTTCCACTCTCTCTAAAAATCAGTGGAAAAATATCCTCGGGTAAGAATTAACCCAAAGAAATAAAAATAAAACAATAACACATGCTTCTCTACAAGCTACCGCGTTAGAAAGCTAGCGACCAGTGAAAAGAGAAGGTGGCTAATGTATTCAGGATAAGCTGGCAGTGTTTCTGTTCTGACTATAAATTATTTCCTAATGCAAAAAAAGTTCCTACCAGCTCCAGGTCATTCTGACTTGGGAGAATAATTGAAATCTCATGAACAACCCTCTATTCAACTCAATTCTATTTATTCATGGGCACAAATGGAACACATTTGAAAACAGGCAACAGGATTAATATTGTGAACAAAAAAGCAGTAACATTTGAAGTTGGAAAAAAAAACAGGATGCCCAGTTAAATTTTAATTTCCATTACACAACAAATAATCTTGTCTTTTCCTTTTTTTTTCAAATGTGACGCAGGAACTGCTCACCGTTCCCTGGCCGGAGGCCCCCCCCTCCCCCCCACCTACAAAAAACCGGGAAAGTGAGTATCCGCCGAGCTTTTGGCCAAAGTAAAGACTCCCTTGTACTCTCCAGGTCGGGTTCCAGAGCAATTCTTTGGGTTAAATTTAGTCTCCCTACCGCTTGTCGGATACCTAATGGAGAGTAAGGGCCCAACATCAATTACCAGTTCTCGCTTTAATCTCTCAGATTCGATCGCGTAACCCCATTTGCCCATTTCTACGTTTTCAGGCCC